GACTTGGTTCATGGTAAAAATGAACTTTCATAATTTCAGGTAAAGATTGTATATCCATATCATCATTGAGTTGAAGTTCAATAACATCTTGTTCAACATTAAATGATTCATGGGTTTCATTGTCTGGAAAATTTTCATGAATTTCTAAAATAGTATTAAAATTTCTTGTTTGATTAAATATACTCATTTGTCGAGTTGGTTCAATTTCTTCATGTTGTTGTTGTGATAATGTATCTTCATTAGTTTCTTCTAGTTCATCTGTTACATGAACTATTAATTCTTCATATGTTGATGGTATATCAATTGATAATTCTTGTTGTAAATTAATATTGTCTTCATCTTCCGAAACATCTTCATAATCATTTGTTGATGAAAATTTTATTATATCTAATTTAAAAGATAATCTTGTAACTGCAAAAATATCATTAATTGCATAATCCTTTAAAATTGTTCGATACTTTTTTTCTTCATGAAGTCGATATGTATGTTCGGGACCCACTACATCTAATGGTAAATATGTCCCTAAGGCTAAATCAACACCACATGCCCATTCAACTAATGTGGCTGTTTTGTTTAAATATTCATTAAATTCATGTTTAATAGTTTTTTGTAAGCCAGCTTTTTGAGCACCACTATATTCATCTTGTATATCATGTTCTTTAATTTGAATATTTTTACTAAATAAATTAAATGAATTTAATTTTCCGAGTTCTTGTAATGCTAAACCCCATGAATACACATGATTATTGGATGTAAATATTATTGTACATAATTGTTGTATTTTTTTAAATAATGGATTTGTAATTAATGGTAAATATTGAACTTCAATAATAATAACAATTGATGGTGCATTTGGACGGATAAATTCTACTTGGAATGCTGCAGGCTTGTGTGATAATGCATCATCTTCCGTATCAATTGAGAAATGATTTGTTAATTTTGCTTGACTAATTAGTTTGTCTAAAATAAAGATGTCAATTTGTTCATTGATGAAATAGCATGAATAATTTTCGGGTTGTTGAAATAATTTCAATTTGCCATTGTAACATTCTTGTTGTAATGCGTGTTCTTGTTTAACTTTCTTAGGTGCCCATAATTGATTTCGTCGTAATAATCGTTGATATGGTGGTATATAAGGATTGTTTTTATGTGTTGAACATGAACTTTTGGTGGAAAAGTTCATCTCTGTGTGCCAAGGTGAATAAAGAAGAAAACAAAAGAAAAAGAAAAGAAAACAAACAAAAAAATGTAAATAATAACAAAGGAAAATTTTCTTTCTTTTTTTTTTTAATATATATATGTATTTTTTTTTTAATTTTAATTTTTCCTTTTTTTTGAAGATGTATATCTTACTGTACGTAGGCGAGTAGTTGAAATTAGATGTAGATCTGAAATATCTGAAACGAAAAATGATATAGACAGGACTCTCATAAGAAGTCCTTTCATCATGATTTTCACTCCCATGAATCCCTATGAGAGTCATTTTTCCTGATGTTCGTAGAATGTGGGTAATATGGGAGAACGTGTCGATCGTTTCGTGTATATATGATTCCTACGAGAACATAATATATGTGCATATGTAACAGTTAAGAGACGGCAAAGGAAAGTAAGAGAGACTGAACAGAAAAGAAAAATAAGTGTTTTCTTAAGATGTATCGTATGAACCGAAGTGTGACTAAGGAAAAGAAATATATGTGATAAGAAGGAAAGGAAAGACAAAGAATGTTAGGTGGACCATGCGGGCTCGTCTAGTGCCGATAACTATAAAATAAATATATCTCGTTCATCTTATTAGTCCAATGTATACTTAATCCATATTTTGTCGTTCAAATAACGGGATAATGACGTCTATTGTAACTTGTCGTATTAGCGTGTTTTTTAACATGTTTGACGATAAATGTTTTTGTGCCTAGTTGTTGTACAATTCTAAAAGGTCCTTCATACCTTATATCGAATTTGTTCCGTATACTAAATGTTTTAATAAGGACAATATCACCGACTTTGTAAGTTGGATTCATACGATATCAGTCATAACGTTCTTTATATTTTTCTTGTTGAGATAAAATTTTGACTTTTGCTTGGCCAGTTAATGTTGCTAAATAATGACTTAATTTGGACTTGTATTCCGGATCCTGTGATAATGTAACTAATGGCTGTTGTTGATCAAAAGGTAAAGTTGGAGAACGACCATATATTAATTCGAATGGAATTTGTCCGGTTGTTTCGTGAATACTGGCATTATAATTGAAAGTAACAAATGGTAGTTGCTCATCCCAGTTTGTACGTTTTTCGTTCGATAAGGCTGCTATTTTAGCATCCATTGTTGCATTAAATCTTTCGATTTGACCATTAGTCATTGGATGGTAAGGTGTTGAATATAAATGTGTAACACCAATCTTCTTAAATAATTCATTCATCAGTGTAGCAGTAAAATGTGTACTATTATCTGTAAGAATACATTTTGGAGTACCATATTTGAGAATAACTTCTTCAGTTAAAAATCGTGCGGCAGTTGATGCTGTACAATCGCATACTGCTTTTGTAATTACAAATTTTGATAATACATCAGTTAATAAAATAATATATCTATTTCCATTCTTTGTTGTTGGTGTAATCGGTCCATGGAAATCCATTGTAAGTAATTGCCATACGCCTTCTGGAGGTTTTATTGGTTTAAGAGCACCGGGTGGTTTTTTCGTAAGGGGTTGTTTTGCAAACAGGGTAGACATAATTTAATATAATTACTAATATCAGAAATCATATTGGGCCAAAAGTATTGCTGTTGAATTTTTTGAATCGTTCTATCTCGACCGAAATGAGCACCATTTGCAGGTGCATCATGATAAATTTTTTTTATGTCCGTACGTATTCGTCCTTTCGGTATAACTGGGATTGGTGGAAATGCTTTCTTCATTAGCATATTATCTTCAATAAAATATTCTTTGTGGTTTTTGATGTTTTGAAATATGTTTTTAATTTGTTCATCTTGATGTTGTAATTCCTTCAGTTGTTCCAATGTAAAAGGTAATATTTTATTCGAATCGTTGTGGGCGTCTGGTGTATGTAATTCATTGCATTTTGGAACACAGGAACGATCGACCAGTGGGTCGATATCCCTCTCGGGCTGTTGTTCGCTACAGGCCTGATCAGTCGAATGACAGTCAGTCCTCTCATCAAGTTGCTGCTTTGCTTTTGTACGAGTCATGACCGGTGCAATAATTTGTGTTTGCCTGTAACTATCAGTTTGTGTTGCTCTGGATTTTTGTTGGAATATAATCATCTTCATCGTTTGTTCCATTATCGACTGGTGAACGAGAGAAGTAATCAGCTACTGTATTATGTTTTCCTTTAATATACCGAATGGTGAATTGATATTGTTGTAATTTTAATCGCCATCGTTCACATTTTGAATTTAATTGTTGTTTTAAATTAAATGGTAATAATGGTTTATGATCTGTTTCAATGATAAATGAACGTCCATCTAAATATTTATGCCATTTTTCGATCGCACATATAATTGCGTAACATTCTTGTTCTGTTACTGGCCAATTCATTTGTGTTGTTGTAAATTTTTTTGATAAATAAGCTACTGGTAAATCACCGTTTGGATGAGTTTGCATAAGGACAGCTCCAATTCCAATTTTTGATGCATCGGTTTGTATCGTAAATGGTAGATTTTAATCTGGAATACGTAATACTAAGTCATGCGTTAATATTCGTTTTAATTCATTAAATGCATGCAGTTCATCATCCGATAAAGTAATGAGAGTCGATTGTGATTTTTGTGATCGTTGTTCTTTTGTAGTAGGTGCGTATTTATATAGGGGTTGTGCAATAGTAGAAAATTCTGGTATAAATTTACGATAATATTCAGCCGCTTTGACAAATCGAAAAGCTTCTTTTGCTGTTGTGGGCTGTTGAGTTTTTACTATGCATGAATGTTGTCCGCATTTTGTTTAATATTGCTGTGTGCAATGTGATGACCAAGAAAATCGATGGCTGTTTTTGCTATTTGACATTTATTTGCAATGAGACGAAAATTTGCAATGTTTAATCGATAAAGAATATCATCAAGATGAATAAGATGTTGATCAAATGTTGGTGAATATATTATAACCTCATCGAGATAAGCTAATAAATATTGCCATCTTGTAGGTCCAAGTATTTGACTAACGATGCGTTGAAATGCTGGTGGACCATTTGTAACACCTTGAGGTAACACTGTAAATTGATAATGTTGATCCCGGGTTGAGAAAGCTGTTTTTGGACGATCCTTTGGGTCAAGTCCCACTTAGGGATGTGCAGTTTCGGTGAAAACAGTGAATTACTGACAGTGACACACTGACACTGAGCGCACTGTCTGCAGTGAC